ACTCCAGTCCATTCAATTCATTGTTCGCGCCTTCTCCATTGTTAGGTATTTCTCCGCGTTAAATATTGAATATCTATTTTCTGAGTAGTCTCGTGTTCACAGCTTTGTGGATTGTGTGGCTATTGTCCAATGCCACTACACTACTCTCCCACCAGAATCAACGTGATGTTGGTTCGATACCAAATTGGATGGGATCGTCGCGCGCCGGAGGTTACCAAGGATAATAAGGATCCTCCGGGTATTGTTAAGCTGAAAGATAAATCAAAAAGAAGGCGGCAGCATCTGGTCAGGAAATACATGTAATAATCTTAAAATATCTGCTTTCATGATTAACACGCTTGAAATGAAAATTTGGATGAAGATTATTTGAACTATAAAAAATGGGATTACAATAATAATAATAATAATAATAATAATAATAATAATAATAAAACGATGCGTGTTAATAACTTAACTTATAGGCAGTAATTATTTTGTGTTTAGAAATATTAAAGTAATGAATATTGTAGAAATGTTAATATTGGTATTAGTTTTGGTTTAAATTATGAAATCAAATAACGATTATGCCGGTAAGTTGTCCATAAGAGTTGAATTCCAATTGCATCTGTATCAGTAGGCTAACTGAAGGAACAAAAGTATTACCATGGTAAAGAATTCCAACTAGTGTTCTAGTTAGTTTGATACGATTTATTTAGTTACGGGGAGATTTTCTCAACCTCATTTTTACTTGACCGTGATAGAATTTAGTAATACTACTAATACACATGAATGTTCATCAAAACAAAATTTAAATACGTGAGTGATGATTATATGAATTTTGGACAGATAGCTAGGAACAAATCGTTAAACATGAGCGTATTCGTAAGAGACATGCTCTAGACTCAATGTTCTGATCTGTGGCAGACTATTTACTTGTATTTATACTTGCCGGCTGATTGGACATACAAGTTAGTTGCAAGTATGCAGTTTATCATAAGGCGGAATACGATTTAATTGAGATATAGTGGTTACAAGTTATTGAAATCAGTTAGGCCTGTGTCATATTACGAAGCGATGTGGTGCTGCATGATGTATTCGGCTAAATAAGCTTTTACAAGATGATTAACAGTGAGAGATGCTCATGTGATTATCAGGGAGTACATAAGTTGTAACCAAGGGGAGTACACTCCCAACTCATGTCTATGATAATGGCTTGAACCTTAGTCAGTGTTGGGGTAAATTCGACATTGATGTTTTCAGTTTGCAGGAGATTTGCTCGACTGCTTATACTGATTATTTGCATGCATGATTGTGTCGCTAAACCTCCAATTAGACTGACAAGGTTTTGAGATATTTACTGAATAAGCAACCGATAAACATACTGTAATCATCTGTAGTGAATGAAGATAAAAGAAAAACAACACTAGTGATAATTGTAAGTCAATTTGCTGACCGATTTTGTTAATAGTTTCATTAATTTTATTAATCATATTACGTGATTGTCAAGTCATGACAATGCTTTATGACGATATCCTGAAACTATTACGTTTAGCTAGTTATAGTGTTGATTGAGGATTAGTCAGTAGAAAAATAGGTATTGTTGCTTTAGGTGATTCGAAATTATCGGAAATTTATAACGTTAAAGAATCCGAGACGCCTAATTTAACTATAAATTTTAATTCAGAAAGATTCGTTTAGTGTTAATTCTAGTAGGCTACGGAGTTTTGATTTTAAACGTTTGTTTAGCTAACAGCTACCTGAGGATTTAGTTATTTTACTAGTGCAGTTGATAGTACCTAAATTTTTAATCTTATTATCTAAACTATGTTCGCATTTTAGGCTGTTAATATGATAAACCAATCCATAAACTCAAATACGATTAGCAACAACGACTATGATGGGTTTATTGATAAATGCTAAAGGCGACTCAGATGATTCCTAAATTTAGAAGACATGAAGATATAGTGTAACGTATGTGTGGGCCAGGTTAACAAACAGGTTGTTGACGTATATGACAATTTAAAAATAATGAACATGACCAGAAAATAATTTTAAAGTTAAGACTGCTTATGAAACTTCAGGCAGGAATATGATGCGTTATAAGCCTTCCATAAGAAGTTACTGCATTTAGCTTAGTGACACTTACAAATATATGGCAAAAGCAACTGAAAAACATATACATCTTAAGTACAAAAAAAAATCATCCAGTAAAATAGTTGAACTCGCCTGGATTATTTTTGAAAATTAGATTATTCAGTGGACGACATATATACTGCCATTCGTGAGTAGTATTGATCCAAAAGCATCCAGAATAAAACATGCAGTATGGCAATTAATTCCAGGGTGCTTGATGCTGTTGAGGTTTTTGACACTCGCTCGGATCAGAACAATCGAATGAATCCAGATAATTGTATGGTTGTCATTGAACGAACCATCTAAAAATGATTGCAGAAAACTTATAGCTGAAACTCACCGTATGTTTTTGGAGTAGTCATCCTCGTTGTTTGGCAATGGAACTCGAGAATATGAAATTAGGCAGGCAGTGGTCGGAAGAAAAGATATTACAGGATAGTGCATAGTTTAAAACAGGATGAGGTGTTAAGTGAAGGAACACTGAGAATTAGATCCAGATAACTATTTAGTCCTTGATCGCATTGTTAGTCAATGTATATTTACGCTATTTACAGGTCATATTTGCTAGAGCTTGATGTTTAAACAAGACTATGTCGCTGAAGCATGTAAATGCTATTACAGCTTGTTAACAAATCATCAAAGCTAATTAGTTAATATAGACGACCAGTTTTTATTATCGATTGAGCTAGTTTGTCATGAGGACTAATCAATATAACATTACGATAATGCATGTGAGCATTAATCAGAGGACTATTAGAATACAGGGCTAACATAAATATAAAATCGATCGAGAAAGTTGAAGTGGAAATTAGGATTAATAATAATAGGTTGCGTTTTTTTAGTTGGGCTCACCAATGTAGAATTATGATCTACTATGATATTAGTACTGCTCTAATAATAGACCTAATCCCAAAATTGTAGATTCGTCATGATATAACTGCCTAATCTATAAGATCTTACGTGGAAGTCACACCATTGACTACACCAACTCACTGTATCGTATCAATTACCAATACCTGATGAACAACAAGGTTAGGATAGAGAAAGAACAATATATTTAATATGAATGAGATATAGGATATATCCAGCATGGACCACGCCTGCATGGCCGAACCATGCCACTCGATCAACTCCAGTCCATTCAATTCATTGTTCGCGCCTTCTCCATTGTTAGGTATTTCTCCGCGTTAAATATTGAATATCTATTTTCTGAGTAGTCTCGTGTTCACAGCTTTGTGGATTGTGTGGCTATTGTCCAATGCCACTACAGGTACTCATGGGTCATGAATCGTCAGACTGTGATGGAAAATGAGCCACGATCCTCAATCGCATTGGTAAAGTGGATGTCATATATCGCGGCTCTTGACAAAATCAATCCAATGAGTCTTGTAATTTGGCTTGAGTCAATAGGCGTCAAGTCGGGATCGAAAGACTGATTTGAATCTTTTCTTTGTAATTGTCTTTATAACGTAAGACTAAGCTTCACACTTTCACAGGCAATAAAATGTATCGATGTGTTCTCAGAGGGTTCATTATTAGGACCTTACCTCAATTAATCCGTTTGAATTAATTTCCTCGCAACGTACTAGCTTTTGCTGAGGATGTTAAGCATTGAAGAACTCCTTCAATCTCTAGATCTTCATCCATTACAATAAATCAAACTCAGGGGCGACCTTTTGACGACTTACAGTGTCTTAAGCTCTCATGGACATCTGAAATACGTTTGTACGTTCATTTGCAACATGGTCTTATGGGAAAGCACTCAGAAATGAGAAGTAAAACACAGCAAACTGTAATAGATTCTCGTCTTCTATTCGTTATGATCTGTTAAGTCTTGGAATTCGCCACTGGGGAAGAGATGAAGTCAGGTTTCAGAAGTGTTTAAGGAGGAAATTTACTACATTCACAAGGGATTTGTACATTATCTCATTTTAATTTCCCAACATCTGTCTTTCTCTTACTCAATGTGACTAGGTCCTGGTTGAATGCTACTAGATACGAAAGCTCTGTAAATGAAAGACTCTCATATTTTATCCACAACCATTTGAATCATTTGGAATGCATTCACTAGTGAAATATAAACACAGAAAAGTTTACCAACGCATCAGGACTATTTCAGTTAAGAAAGATTCGTGATCATTCTGTGCCACCAAGATACAGAGAAAAATTCATTTTCTCTATTCTAGCTGGTGATGTGGGTGATTCTGCTATATAGAAATGAGCAGCTTCAATCTTAGCAACACCGCTTAGCGTGATGTTCTCTGATATGTGACGGTCTACGTGACCACTTAATATCCATAAACCTCTTTTCACCCCAACAGTACAGTTTCAGAAAAGGTCACTTTTGTATAACCAATCTGCTGACCACCGTGGACAGAAAAGCATCCATGATTGCAAGGGAAAGTTGGACGTCATATACCTAGGCTTCCCCAAAGCTTTTAATAGAGTAAACTATATATATTTTATCAACAAACTCCGAGAGCTAGGCCAGTTCCAACACAAACTTAAAGGGTAACACACAGAAACTAGAGACACAACACAGCAGAACGAACTTCAGACACACTTTCTACTCCTTAAGAGTAGTCAAATGTTGGAATTCACTGCCGGTTGGGCTAGTCTAAGCTACTTCCCAGGAGTCCTTCAGGGGAAAACTTGACATATTCTTAAGGACTGAGGACATTATCTCACTATGATTTACCAACATTTTGCTTTTTCTTCTTCCATCGTTAATATACCTAGGTTCCTAATTGGAGGCTTCGGCGAAAAACTGCTACTAGATACGGAAGCCCGTTAAGCGAAAGCTTCTATTCCGTTCGGAATCACTTGAATCAGCATTGAGCATACACCTTTAAAGGCGCTGTGATCAGTAAGGGACGCTACGTGAGACTCTCAGCTTCGATAGTGCCCTTAACGTATGTCAATACTCTTTTAGAAATTCTTATATACTGTAACCGAACATCTATGTTTTACATGTCTAGTCATTTCAGTATCTATTCGGCACATGGTAGAAAAGATTTGGACTTGAAAATTGTTGAGTGATAAATACGATGTAACTCATTAGTATGTAGACGAGGGTCTAAAAAATTTCTTTATTTCGTGGTTTTACTTAAACAGTAATGTTCCCCCTTAAATGCCTTTCTATTGCTCCTATACGTTTAAATTGTTTTCATATTTCACCGTAGTTGAATTTCCCACGAACTATTTCCATTTACGTATTTCATTTTAGAGGCGCTAAAACTCCAGTCTGGTTTAAGCCATTCCCCAGTATGTGCTATTATACGTCAAATGTCTCAGTATTACAAGACATGACTAATGTATTTATATCTCTAGTTAATTTTCAAAGTAATATTTTATACATTATTTTCTACACTTTCATCCGTCTCTTTGTCGCTTCCTTAGTTCTCAGTAACTAAATATTTCCTTTGTCTGTTCCCGTTTTCTTATGTTAGTAAAAAATATAACAAACTTAAACTATATACATATCCCAGCTTTCAAAGTTCTCGTTGTCCCTATCTGGATTGAATTATGTAAATTATATTCCCAGAACGGCTTCAAAAGTCACTCAGGACACTATACATCAACTTAGTCCGAATAAGGCCAGTCAAAACAAACTTGAAGTTTAGACAGGAATAAGATGAGTGAATGTTTTGCTAAGAGATTCCTAACTTGAGAGCAAATTCATAACTTCCTGTATAGAAGTACGTTTACAACTCACTTTGCATATAAAAAGTACCGGGGTGTTTTATTTATAATCAGTGACAGCAATGTTATGGACAGTAATCATTTAGATTCCATGTCAATAGGGTGCAACAATTACTTGTGGTAAAATACTAATAACTCACTTCTGTTTGAATTATGCACTTCTGTTATCTAGGAAAGTCTAGCATTTATATCACCTACCCTAAAACACAGAGCCTCCAAAGTCCCCCTCTCGAGTTCTCATCGTATCCATCGTTCTCTTCCGCTATGTTTGCGACTGTCTAACGAACTAATTTAGCTATTCATTCAAGCGCTGCCATACGAGATATGGACGGTTTTTGTCAGGAAATTATCACCAGTATGCAATTCACTTCAGTCGGATAAGAGTTACAATACTCGGGTTCAAGACATGAACTTATTTCACATTCCTGGTACTACATGGTTTGAGTAATTAATTGTAACCAAGTTCTATCCTTCTTACTATTATACGAGTAAACTTGTCTGCGTAATTTTGCTATGTACCTTGTTAACAGTAGAGTTGGTTGTTTCTTGACAATGGAAGGAATCTAATACTGGACCACGATACCAGATCACGTGGCACATAAATTGATCAGTTATCCGACCAATAATTAAGAACTAGATTTGATCTAACGAGATTTTATAAACACGATGTACAAGCAGTTAAAAACTAGTAAGATCAAAGTAAAATCACTTCTATAGACAAAACAGTCTGATTTAGTATAGCTGGACGTCCAACTTCGCTCACTGACCAACCACATTTTTTGACACACCATTCTGGTTTCTTTCAGTAACATTTAAAATTGTAAAACATTCGAGCTCCTCATGTTTTATGACAGATACTGGAACACTAGGTGGAAATGTCAGTCCAAACTCTAGTGACTAAAAAGCGAAAGGAGTTTATTGGACTCCCGGCACCCTTGGGATATGCTGCTGGTATAGGACGTGGTGCTGTAGCGTTTACTACAAGATCTGATATTGGTCCGGCCCGAGAAGCTAATGATGTTTCAGATGAACGACATGTCGCTCCATCTAAACGTCGAAAGGAGCAAGAAGAGGAAGAGGAGGACCTAAACGATTCAAATTATGATGAGGTAAAGAACTGTCGGTTATAGTTTTGGAATAATTTTTGTAATGTTCTACATATGGTTGTTTCCGTTATTATTTCTATACATAGGAAACATAAGAACAATTTGTAGCTATATGAATATCTGTACGCAGCAGAAAATGTCAAATATTTTGCCTCCGCTTATGATTCAATTGTAACTTGCATTAAATAATTGTTTGATAATGCTATTTTATGAGTTATTCTGTTGGTCGAAATGTAGGTGTTGAAAATGTCAAGTTTTGAAAACTTCGAGATGTTTGGCTTTAAGGAGTTATTGAAATTTAGGAGAATGTTTATTATCGCTATTATAAGGTAGGAGTTAGACGCTGAATTACTTCGAAATGTCGAGTAAACAAAAACTCTACACTTGTACTAGGCTTACTAGTTAAAGTAAGATACAAGTAAAACCAAACGATACCCATTGAAAATCTGGCTTCCTAGATATCGTTAACCAGTGTTTATCAATTAGTCCTTTCTAACTTATTTTTCACTGTCTCACATTAATCCCACTTTCATTTTCTACAGCTAATTGACCTGGGCACTCGGTCTTTAATCCTGTTTAATTATTTATATTCATTCCATTTGCTGAAGCTTCGGAAAATGAAGCACTATCAAGTTTTACATTATAACTGCACTCCACAGGAGAAAAGTGTTTTTTGTAGTTAATAAATTTAGTTTGTATTCTTATACCCTATTTCACTTTCACCTCTATTTATTTGAAATACCCTCAACTGTTTTCTGTACTTTTCGACTCATGAAATTTGTATATTTCTGAAGTAATTGCTTAGAAAAAAATTTATTTATTTGAACACATAAATACTGGTACAAGGAAGCATTAAATACATATGCGCCACACAAATCTCATTTGATATGTGTGAGGGCTGTGATACTGCCCGGGTGCCCAAACCGAAGCAGGTGGTTTCCTTAGGGAGCCACACCCGAAGCCTTCGACCTAAAGGTCTGATCCACAAGGCGGTGGAGCATCGTATGGCGATGCAGTCCCATGGTAGCCGGTGACCAACGACTGGTTTATACGCCATTTGTTCACTTAGGATACTGGAGCTCACGTGCACCGTTGGTTTGGAGTCAGGGTTTTCCGACTCCCCTAGGTGGACTCTCTGTGCCCACCAACCGGGTTAAAGCGCCGGACATTCGCTTTTCGTCCTGTCAATTTCGTAAACAACACACCTCCATGAGAAGGCAGTGAGTAGGACTTCCCTGGCAGAGGCTATATACGCGTAGCCATATGAGAGCATTTCGTGAGGAAATAATTATGTAGTTTACAGTACAATAAATGATTTCACTGAATGTTTTTTGGAGTTATCGAAGTCAACTTTAAAGTTAAACGACTTGTCGAATAAAAGAGAAATTAATGTACACGTTTATTCAGAACTTTTTCAAGTTTTCCCTTATTCAGAATTTCACAGTTCCCGAGAAATAATGAGCTTCTCGTGATAAATAATAAAAGGTTGGGTGTATAATAATGATAAAATGGTGTTGACGACCTAGTGTGTTTGACTCAATTCAACTAATTCTCAGTAGTAAAAAGTGCAAAATAATGCCATGAAATAAAACTCACCCATTATGTAAGTGATTACACTTTTGATATAGTAAGATGTTAACAGATCGTATATTCGACACTCCCATTCCACCTGTTTCTGAGCCACACGTTTATTTACTAGTGTGACATTAGGTGAAACTTGTCTATTAGCCTAATACTCTATATTCATGATATGTATCCGTCTTTAGGTTAAACAGGATCTTTTTTATTATTTTGCATCTAGTTTACAGGCTATGGTGGTAGTTTGTGTGCAAAAGATCCTTATGAGAAGGATGATCAAGAAGCAGATGCTATTTATGCTTCTATTGATGATAGGATGGATGAACGACGGCGGGAGTACAGAGAAAAACGTTTTCGTGAAGAGATCGAAAAGTATCGTCGTGAAAGACCAAAGATTCAACAGCAGTTCATGGATTTGAAGCGTGATTTAGCGAGTGTATCTGAAAGTGAATGGAATGCTTTACCGGAAGTTGGCGATTCACGAAATAGGAAGCAAAGAAACCCTAGATATGAACGTTTTACTCCGATCCCAGATAGCATAATTGCAAAAGGCTTGTCTGATGGTCAAGTGAGTCATCTTATAATTCTATTTCAACTCTTCTGTTTTAGACCAATGTTTCTGTAGATGTAATTGAACAAAGTTTAGGAGGCTTAACTACACCGTTTACTTCACAAGCAGCTCAAATGGATATTGATATGAAGAAAATTGGTGAAGCGCGTACTTCTTTGATGGATATTAAGCTGACACAGGTACATTTCTTTCTATTATCTACTAAAAAGTTTCATTTCATTCTTAACTTTATCTGTTTTAAAATCTTCAGTAACACCAAACTACAGCCGTGTAGTCCATAATGTAGTCCGAAATGCACAGTACTTGCCACTGAGTTCATTAGCTGGGTATATCAACAAATAAGTTCCACAAAAATGAACACAAAAGTACAATCTTTCCGTAAAGCACATAACCTTACACACCAAGAACAGTTGCGCTTACTCGCAAGTACTAATATTCATTTATTTATTTCACCAATAATAAGGTTATTGCGGCCGTTACACTGGTAGGAAACTAGCACAACTAGTTTTTTAAACATATTACGTAATTTCTGTATGTCTGCGTATGGTCCCATACTTTATAGAAATAATTTATAAAAAATATACTAGGAATTTTATTTATTTGTTCGATTGAACACGTAAATATTGGTACAAAAGGGCACAGAATACATATGCGCCACATAAGTCACTTGATTTGTGTGTAGGCTGTGATACTGCCCGGTTGCCCAAACCGAAGAATCGTTTTTGTACTTTCCATTGATCTTCGTTCTTTGCACACATTGGTTAACAGTCTTAAGTAATGCTTTGAATCCATTATAGACAGATAGTAGGCGAATAGGAAAATTAGTTGATGAGACTGGGAGTTTTGAGTGACTGGTGTTTTTGGGTTGTGTTACGTATGCTTAGTAACCAACTACATCGCCACTCAGTGTTAGCTGGTGTCGGAGTTGGGAAAAAACCAGAGGTGACTAAACCAAAACATGCCACTCGTCCATGAAGTCATTTAATGTTGATCTAAGAAATATTGGTAGGTAAGGACTATCTGGCTAGGGTTTGCGCGATAATCGCAATCAGTGGTTTGAAACGTTAAATAAAGTAGCTCACAATCGGTCGCAGTGGCCTAGATACAATCACTCTTTGTCTCACCTTAGTTCATAAACTTCAATATTATTTCATGTTTTCCGTTTCTCGAATACAGATCTTTTTCGAACCGTATTTTCCAATGTTTGATCCTTCTTACCTTTACTTAGACTTCATCGCTTTTCATTTTGTTGATTTCCCTTCACTGTGGTGATGTGATATAGGTACTTAGAATGATACAGACTTTTGCTAGGCTCTATGCTGATTACTTGTTATGATGCCTTATAACTTATTTCAATCCATTTGTAACTAGGTTTCTGATAGTGTATCAGGACAAACTGTTGTTGATCCCAAAGGGTATTTGACTGATCTACAGTCTATGATTCCTCAACATGGTGGTGATATAAACGACATGAAAAAAGCTCGACTCTTATTAAAATCGGTACGCGAAACTAATCCTAAACATGCTCCTGCTTGGATTGCATCTGCTCGTTTAGAAGAAATAGCTGGTAAACTTCAGGTTAGTTTAGTCATAAACCAATCTAATATTCAGCCATTTTATAAACTTCCATATACTTAACTTGTTAAGTGTATCATTTTGTAATGTAATTAATGTGGTATATTCTATAGAGACTTGGTCAGTGGACAATTTCAGTAACTCATCAAATGGTGTACTGACCAGATCACGTTTTACCTCATATTCTGTCATCTTAGATTGGGTGAATAACATAACCCATCAATCGAGTATAAGTTTTTTATTCAATTTAAGGGAGATTTTTATGTGGTTAGTGATACTACTTGTTTCCCCAAAACAAAGTAAACGGAGCAGCGTTCAAACCTGTAGCACCAAACCACCTCTCCAATTTTCGAGAGCTTTCATTCAAATTGTCGCTGCTGATGCCATCTCTAATGTCTTTGGAAATCTCGAAATTAAATTGTTCATTATAGGAAACTTGACATCAAAGCAATCTGTACTACATTCTGTAAACCTTGGTGTTTGATCCATATTTTAAACTAGATAACAGGTATTTTAACGAAGCATTGGTTTATTTCAAGTAAAAATAACGATAAGAAGCGTTAGTTAGAATGAATTTAATAAAAAAAATATGGACGCTCAATTACATTCAAGTTGACCTGAAAACTTATTAAGCTGTAGAATTGAGATATATTTGCTGACAGTTTTCAGTTTGATGTTCATGTAGTCTTCTGTACGATACCACATGAGCTTGAGCCCAATTCATCCAACATTAAAAATATAAATGTAATCACTGAGCTGTTTAGTCCCCAAGCGATCTTACTTAGCACTAAACATTTTTATCAATCGACCATTATGTAGTAACTATTTTCATTACTTACTTACGTACGCCTGTTACCCTTCGTGGAGCATATGACGCTGACCAGGTTTCTTCAAGCAACTCTGTCCTGGGCTCTTCTGCCCAGTTGTTCCCAACTGCTATTCATTACAACAACCAGCTCAACAATTAACATATTTACATGGAATGTCTAAACAATGTGACAGACCGGGAGAACCAATCGAATAGCTGGAGAAATGAAGTGATACAACTTGGCGGTGCTCGAAATAAGTGAAACCCATTGGACCCAAGCTAGAAAGAACCATTTTCATATTGTCTTGTTAGAGGTGCTGACGGACTTCTATAGGCTAATCTCACAATGTGATCACTAAAGTAGATAGAGTTTTAACCTACGTGCTTAATAAAGTGGATGGTAAAATAAATAGCTTGATGAAGTTCAGATACATAGGTTTTAGTCAGAGTTTGTTACTGCAAAACTAATACTTAAAAAGTCGGTTTCTACGGCACTTACTTACGCCTGTTACTCCCAATGCAGCATAGGCCGCCAACCAGCATTCTCCATCCCACTCTGTCCTGGGCCTTCTTTCCTAGTTCCACCCAATTCTTGTCCATTTTTCTCATGTCTATCTCCATTTCCCGGCGTAAAATATCCTCTTGTCTTCCTCTTCTCCTTTGGCCTTGAGGATTCCATGTGGGGGCTTGTCTTGTGACGTGGTTGGGTGCTTTCCTCAATATGTGTCCTATCCACTTCCAGCGCTTCTTCCTGATTTCTTCCTCCACTGGGATCTGGTTTGTTCTCTTCCATAGTAGGTCATTGCTAATAGTGTTCGGCCAACGGATCCGAAATATTTTGCGTAGACAACTGTTAATAAACACCTGTATCCTCTGGATGATGGCTTTCGTAGTTCTCCAGGTTTCCGTCCCATACAGTAGAACTGTCTTGACATTTGTATTGAAAGTCCTGACCTTGGTGTTGGTTGACAGTTGTTTTGAGTTCCAGATGTTCTTCAGTTGTAAATATGCTGCTCTTGCTTTTCCGATCCGTGCCTTCACGCCTGCATCAAATCCACCGTCTTCATCAATCATGTTGCCCAGATATGTAAAGGTTTTTACACCTCCCAAAGCTTCTCCGTCAAGTGTGATTGGATTGGTGTATATTGTGTTGTGTCGGAGAATCTTGCTTTTCCCTTTGTATATATTGAGACCTACTGTTGCTGAGGCTGCTGCTATACTGGTCGTCTTCTCCTGCATTTGTTGTTGCGTTTGGGATAGAAGGGCCAGATAATCTGCGAAGTCTAGATCGTCCAACTGCATCCTAGATGTCCACTGTATCCCGTGCTTCCCTTCAGATGTTGACGTCTTCATGATCCAGTCGATCACTAAAAGAAAGAGAAATGGTGAGAGTAAGCAACCTTGCCTGATATCGGTTTTTACATGAACGAGTCTGAGAGCTGTTTTCCATGCACGACTTTGCAGTTTAACGTTAATTATCTCAGGCATTCCATAGTGTCGAAGAGGCCTCCATGATGTTGTCCTGTCCACGCTATCAAATGCTTTCTCGTAGTCAATGAAGTTGATGTACAGTGATGAATCCCATTCAGTTGATTGTTCCACAATGATCCGTAGTGTTGTGACTTGGTCTGTATACGATCGATCCTTACGGAATTCAGCCTGTTGGTCTCGAAGTTGGGCATCTACGGAGCCCTTCGTTCTGTTTAACAATACCCTGTTGAAGATTTCCTGGTGTTGAGAGAGGAGTAATGCCTCTGTAGTTATCACAGTTGCTGAGATCGCCCTTTGCTATCTTGATCAGGTGTCCTGTCCAGTTTGTTGGTACTTGTTCTTCAACTTCTTCGGTTTGGGCACCCGGGCAGTATCACAGCCTTCATACATATCAAATGAGATCTGTGTGGCGCATATGTGTTTGGTGCCTCCGTGTACCAATATCTGTTTGTTAAAATAAGTAAATAAATAAAAATGTGGAGTGTCTTTGCAGTTACTGCTACATCCGCCTTCAGTGCCTCTGCTGGGATGTTGTTTGGTCCCGCTGCTTTGCCGCTCTTGGTTTGCTTGATGGTCATGCTGACCTCTTCAATGGTTGGTGGGTCAACATCGATTGGGAGGTCTGTGGGTGGGTTCAGTAGGGTTGGTCGATTCAAGAGCTTTTTGATGTGTTCTACCCACCTGTTTCATGGACCTTCAATGTTGGTGATTACTTTGCCTTCCTTACTTCTCACTGGTCGTTCTAATTTACGACAAGATCCCGCGAGTTCCTTTGTTGTATCATACAATTTTCATGTTTCCTTCTCTTGCAGCCTTTTCCACCGTCATCGCTAAATGTTTCACATATCTACGTTTGTCGGCCCTGATGCTCCTCTTCACCTGCTTGTTTACTTGTGTGTATTCAGCTTATGCCTTGGCTTTCTCTGCTCTTGTTCGGCTGACACTTTTTTCTGCATTCTTGTTCCTCCTTTCTTGAATCATATCCAGTGTATCAACAGTGATGGTGGTGTGGTGGTGCTTCTTGCGGCCCAGAACCTCATGACATGTTGAAGTGATTGGCTCCTTGATCCCCTTCCAGTTGCTCTCAATTGCGTATTTCGTGAAAGTTCTGGCACATTGCTGATGGCTATCTTGAATTCGTTGAGTTTGTTAGTATCCCGAAGAAAGTCTGTATTAAACTTTTGCGGTGTTTTCTGCCCCATTGTTCAGTGCTTCTTGAGCTTAAATTTCATCTTGGCGACCAGCACGTGACGATCTGAGGCTATATCAGCTCCTCTCTTGGTTCTCACATCCTCCATTATCTTCCTGAACGTTTTATTGATGCAGATATGGTCGATTTGGCCCTGTGTAGTGTGACCAAATGAAATCCATGTGGCTTTATGTACGCGTTTATTTGGGAATATAGTGCCGCATATGACCAGTTTATTGAAGGCACATAGGTTTGCAAATCTCTCACCATTTTCGTTTCTTTCTCCTAGTCCATGTCGTCCCATGATGTCCATTCCAACCGTGGCATTCAGGTCTTCCGTCAGAATTATCAGGTCCTTTGTTGGACATTTCTCAACGGTTGACTGCAGCCTCTCATAGAATTGATCTTTAACGTCATCATTGTAATCGTAGGTAGGTGCATAGCATTGGATGACGTTCATTGTAATGCCCTCTTTCTTTGTTTTGAAGGAGGCTTTGATGATCCTTGGTCCATGAGATTCCCATCCTATAAGTGCATTTTGTGCTTGTTTGGATAGCATCAATGCAACTGCTTATCTATGTGAGGCATTTTCTTCTTCATGGCCGAAGTATAACAGAAGCTCCCCTGAAGCTAGTCGTTGTTGTCCAACTTGCGTTCAATGTGTTTCACTGATTCCAAGCACCTCCAGGTTGTATTTCTTCATTTCTCCGGAAATTTGAAAGACTCTCCCGGTCTCCCACATTGTACGAGCATTCCATGTACCTAAATAAATGGTTGCTCTAGTTGTCAGAAGGGACATCAGCCTTATGACTTCCGAAGGAACTCGGCTTTTATTATGAGGCATCATAACTATTCTAAATGAAGACCTAACTCCCAGAGCAGATTTTAAATTGTTTGAATTATTTTTTCTGAGTAGCGTTTCTTTAGCGGGTTGGTTTCCTACGGGATGGGGTCGCCAACTCCATGCCCGACCCTCCTCCTTTATCCGAGCTTAGGACCGGCAGTAGCCCTAGGGGGCCCTAGGCGGAGCCTTTTATAATTTCACTTTTTAAGTGTGCTTTTAATTGAAACTAATTTCAGGTCATTCGTTTATTTTTATTTGATTATATACTCAACTATCTGAAGATGCTTTCAAGAATAAACCTGAAACTTACATTACATTAATTGTAGGTAATAATTGAAATTAAATGTAGCTCATAATGTAGCTGAATTCGGTCAGGTTACCTTATGAACTCGCTTGATCCTACAGCTATAAGACTCGTTCACACGATATCTATAGTTTCATGACTGATTATGTGTAAGTTTATATTGAAACACGTCTGTCCGCCGAAATTCGACTTTGAAAAAAAATAATTAATAAATACATCGCGTTCAAAACTACAGACATACTAAGCACTTAGTTAATGATTATATATTAATATTGTTTACATACATACACAACTAGTTTATTCATACATAATTATTTATATCAATATATTATTTTTCTTTACAAGCGAGATTTTCTAAACTCATCGTATTAATTTTACATTATTTGATTGTGCGATTAAAACTATGTACTGGTAACTTTTATTTTGTCAGGATAGCTTATAAACATCTTTAATTTTCTGTGAAATAAAGGTTGCGCGCAACTTAATTCTTAGTGGGTGTGAAGAATGCCCTAAATCAGAAGATATTTGGCTAGAAGCAGCACGGTTAGTACCACCCGAACAAGCAAAATCTGTTGTAGCTCAAGCTATACGTCATTTACCTCAGTCGGTCCGCTTATGGGTAAAAGCAGCCGACTTAGAAACAGAGCATAAAGCTAAAAAAGTTGTATTTAAAAAGGGTAGGTTTTCATATGTTTGATTGTTGTAGACAGCTTTTGTTTTAAACTATAATAAAATTCAGTAGTCAGTTTCACTTTTATATGTTTGACTTCGAGCTACACTTGTACAAATGCTAGAAGATTACCCGCCTATTGAAAGTGAGGTAAGTTATACAGGATCCAGTCCTATAGATGTTTAAATCATAAAGCAGCGTTTGTTTGGTGAGGAAATAGTCAATGGATTCATCACGGCAATCGGAATTTTCTGTCCATTTTGACGGTGTCTTAGGACTGATTTCTCAGTCCTTGAACTAATGACAGGACGTGAATTAGTTGGGCATGTAGATCACTTCACTTATATTGGAAGTCTCATCATCCCTAGTATGTTGGTGTCTGACGAAGTCTGAGCACGAATTCAGTTGGACTTTACCTACTTACATCACGTGTGTCCTGGGCGAGACAACCATTTGCCAACTAAAAATGAGTAAGCTGAGCACCAATCCACTCTCTTAGACTTTATGGCTGGGAAGAATGGACTTTAAAAATAGAGAATATTTGTAGGTTACTAGTATCCTACCATAGATGTCCTCGGACCATTGTTCGTATATTTTGGGACCACCGAGTCGGTAATTCTGACGTTAGAGCCAGAGCACTAGGTAAGGATGGCAAATTCGTTTATGAAGTAGTGAAACACCGAAACAGATGGTTAGGATATGCATTACGTATGACCATCCAACGCCTACTTCGATACGGGATGGTGACCGGCAGAAAGTTAGGAGCGACCAAACCAAGATATGGCATCATCCCATGAAGATACTAACTGTTTGGTTGACCCATGTAGGTAGGTGCAGACTACGTGGTTGGTGTCTGCGTGAATATTGTAACCAATGGTTGAAGATTGTGTGTAAAATGGCTCAGAATCGATCGTAATGACACAGGTGTCTTCTCTTTGATTTTAAGTTTCTAAACTAGTCTATTGAGCTTTTTCACCATCACACTAATCTATATTTTCTCTTATGATATCGTCTACGCCTAACCTTTTCTACCACTGTTAATACTGTTATTACATCTACCATTCTGGGATTCGGCCTGACAGTTTCATTCCACCGTTCTAATGGCGTGTGATAACTTGGGCCGGTGTACGCATGTTCCAGGTTCTACGTTGTGTTTGACTGACTCCTGGGGAAATAGCTGCAATTATTTGAAAAAATATGGCTGGCTCCCGTCATGAAATTGTTACCAGCTAGCGAATCACGAAAAACCAAACGACTTGATAGTTGTTACATTATGGTTCGAGACTTCTTTGACGTATCCGATTACGATATCATGCGGTATAACACTGAGGACGTTCAGATCTTGCCGTTTGTGCGTTACCGTTTAGCCACTAAGTTATAATACAACAGTCCACATTATATAGCAGTTAAGCCGTTATCTATAATGTCACTAACTCACTGATGGCGGGTGGAGATCCGGTTATATCAAAAATGGAATAAAGTTAAAACTATGTCCAATTGAATTTCAACCCAGTACCCGAATGGTATTGTCCTCACCATAATACGTGAAAGTTTCAGGCTCTAATCTTTGTAAGGTTGCCAGCGTGCAAGGAGTCTCAAACCAGGGCAAATGATTGTTCAGTACTTCCTGATTTTAAGTGGTACTCCATTTATTGTCAGTTCGTAAGGAATATGGCTCTTAGTGTGCACGTAGTTTCCACAAAACCCCTTATTTAAAAAATATTATGAAATTGTGGAGCTTTGTAGTAAGTAAATAATGTAAGTAGCTTAATGTTAAGTTTATCAGTTATAAAAAGAATAATACACGAGAACCTATCTAACTATTTGGATAATCATATACGTTTTCACCGGCGACAAATACATTGCACAAAGAGTATTTTAACCATTCTACTAAACAAGAAATAACGCGAAAACTGCTCATGGTTACTGCTCAAAAACTAACCGTAGATCGTAAATTTCACTTACATGCTCCATGTTTCTTTCGAATTCAAAGTTACAGTTTTTAAATGTAAGGGATTCATGAAAGATGAGTCACACTTTTAGCTTTTTTTTACATGAACACAGCAGCTATGGACTCGTTTTACTGAATCATTGTGCGAAATTTTCATAAGCAGCCATTTTAAAATTGGTGGATTTGTTTTTCTTCACATTTTCAATTCAGCATTAGAACAAGTCCCAAACTCTGTAAGGTTGTGGAAATTGGCAGTTGAATTGGAGGATGAAGATGATGCCCGACTAATGTTATCTTTAGCTGTTGAATGTTGCCCAACGTCTGTTGAATTATGGCTTGCATTAGCTCGTCTGGAAACTTATGAACAAGCTAGAGTTGTTTTGAATAAAGCTCGCGAAAGCATTCCTACAGACAGACAAATTTGGTTTGCAGCTACTCGTTTAGAGGAGGCTCAAGGAAACCAAAATATGGTACAGAAAATTGTTGATCGTGGTGTCGCATCTTTACAAGCAAATATGGTTGAAATTAATCGTGACCAGTGGATTAAAGATGCAGAGGAATGTGAAAAAGCTAAAAGCGTTCTTACCGCTCAAGCTATAATGTAGGTTTTTTAATTGATTTTTATACACAACTAGCTTCCTTAATCCTGAATTATCAAACTTAGTAAACTCTATCTTGTTATGGTTATTCGTTAGTTTTGAATTAGCATGTGATTCTTGGTTAAGTGAATGAGATAATACAGATATTAACCTTTGTCTAAGATCAATTATTACAGCTTTGGTTCTTGACCTTCGCTCAATTTTGTCGTTTTCAGGGGGACCCTATTTAGCAAAAGTTATCATCTTATTTTCTTTTTCAACCATCAGTGAAGAACTTAGTATTCTTCATTTCCTTAATTACTTGCTCAGCATTACTTATTAGGGAGTAATAAACAAACCGATCGTTAGACAGTCACTGAAGTAAGACATTAGTTATTAGTACTATTTATTTATTTAAACACATAAACATTCCTACAAATGGCCATCGAAATATATATGCCCCCACAAATCACTGAAGTTGTGTGTGGGCTTGGATACTACCCTACTGTCCAGATCAAAGCAGGAGGTTTTTTTGAGGCCTTTTCCTCGGACCTTTGACCCAAAGGTTTCATCCACAAGGCAGTGGAGCAACGTTTGGAGATGCAGTCCCATGGTAACCGGTGAATGAGAATAGGTTCATACTCCTTTCTCTTACTTTCGATCATGGAGCCCATGTTCGCCATTACTTTGGAACAAGGGTTTTTCAACTCTCCTAAGTGGATCCTCCGTGCTCACTAACCCCATTGAAGAGTCAGACATACGCTTTTCATTCTCTCGATTTCGTAAAAAACGCCCGATAGACTTTAAATGCTCTGGTACTCCCTAGGGTGGGGAGAGACCACTTTGTTGAAATGCTCTCACATGGCCACACGTATACAGACACTGCCAGGGAAGTCCTACTCACTGCTTTCTCCCGACAGGGGTGTTGTTTACGAAATTGAGAAAACGAAAAGCGAATGTGCCACGTTTTAACCGGGTTGTTGGATATAGAGGATCCACCTATGGGAGTTGGGGGTTTGTTTGGAGATTAAAATTAAAGAGGTTTAGGTGTAGACACTATGATCATAATTAACTGATTCATGCCCGTAATTTAGGTGACAATCACAATCATTCATCCTTATTTTTAATGTACATTGGATACCTGAATTGTTCAGTGCTTCAGTTATCGATGCCAACAGCAAGTTATTCAAGTCCTTGATACTACCCCTTGACCTATGTGTATACTTGATCCAGTTTTGAAAGAAGTTATTCATGTCCTGGATAGCTCTGTGCTATTGGATTTTACTAGGTTTCTGAGTGGCAAATCTAAGTATATGAGAAAAATAAATAGTTACTCAGTATAATCAATGCACATTTCCAAGGGAATGTACTGGGCTTCCTGCTAATTAAGAAAAGCATTTGCAAAAAATCTACTTCAACTTAATTATAATTTGATAAACTTTATATATCTTACCTTTTAAACAAAAATGTCTATGTATTCTATTATCTTAGTAAAGCTATTATAGGATATGGTTTAGAAGAACAAGATAAAAAGCATACATGGTTGTCAGATGCAGAGAATTGTGCTACTAGCGGCGCAATAGAATGTGCTCGTGCTATTTATGCTGTAGCATTGGCTCATTTTCCTACAAAGAAAAGTATTTGGCTACGTGCTGCTTATTTTGAACGAAATCATGGAACAAGGTAAATGGTCTCTAATATTACTAATCAAATTGTTTTATGTAAATGGTATTTTTCTCTGAAAGTAAGTGAGGTTATGCGATTAATTTCGTCAGAATGAACTTCAGTACCAGCTAAGTATTACATGCTAAAGAGTATTTATTATTTGGAATGGTTGTACTACTATTGTGAATGCGCACGCAAACTGGAGTAAAGTTAGAAGATTGTGCTAGTTTCTCAGAATATAGGGTTATATATGTGTGCGGTCCTCCAGTAAATAAAATGGAGTTTCAGCTACAAAGTACATTCGTAATGATAAAGTCAATAGTCTATGTTGAATACAAGTATGAACATATGATCGAATAAATAATAATTACATCAATCAATAAAAAGAGATTTTAGTTAACCAATAAAATAACAGCAAGGAAGTAGTACAGTAAATTATGCTCGCTCATAGGTTGTCAGCTCGAAGAATTTCTTGCAGTTATCAGATACAGCTGCTACTCTCAATTTAGCAGATTTGCAACGTCCGATGACTCGTGTTTGGTTGAGTATCGTAGATTTATACATAGCCTGTTACTTCAAAATGTTGTTGCTTATGTGGAACACTTTCGGAATCATGGTCTGATAACTTTTTTGAATGGAGTTTCCTTATTCTGTAGTTCGACTTAAATATCCACTGATAACCTCTTATTTTCGTCGAAACTCACTCGTCTGTTAAAAGTGATGACTAGGACACAACAATCAGCAGTGCAGAGAGTTGTAGACTCGAATCTAGTCCACTCGACTTTGGTTTAGGTAATCAAGTACCAGGTTATGGTTACTAAATAAATTTTAGTATACATACATGTGTTTGTTCATTGAGTCATATTTTTAATTGTTTGCTATTATTACTATTATTATTATTATTATTATTATTATTATTATTATTATCGTTAGTGTTTTTTCCCTATCTACTGCACAAATTTTTTACCATACCTCTAATTATTAAACAGAGAAACTTTAGAAGAACTTTTGCGTCAAGCTGTTAGTCATTGTCCTCAAGCAGAAGTGCTTTGGCTTATGGCAGCAAAGACACGCTGGCTTGCAGTAAGTATATTTATTAACAAGTTAATGAAAAGATATCATTTGCACTATCGTTTCGTTATTATGGATAACTTATACAAAACTGATATGTAGAGTAAAATTACTGATTGGATTTCATTGGTAATACCACATCTTCCTTACTATGTGGTGTGTGATGATTTCAAACATGCTTATCGCCTGTTGTTAAAATTATATAGACTATATTCCACGTAACATGATAAAGAGTGCTATTTGTAACGTAACTGATATATATTTGGTATGATATCGTTTTTCTATTTCCTGACTTTTAACAAGTGATCCGAAATTCATCTAAATCTAGTTAAATGCATGAGTTTGTTCCAGTCTAGTGTTATTTAGATTTTTTGGATAAATTAAGCAATCATAATTAAAGAGCAGAATTAATGCACATACATACTTGATCATTTGGTTCGAAAGGACCGTAATAATATCAGTAAATGGTTGGACAGTCGAAACCTATATTTTGGAGATTCGAATTTACCATAATCGTACATTACAATATCTTTAGTTTCTCAACTTTTAATGTTTAAATAAGTAAACAAGAATAGTTTGTTGGTAATGGTTGTTTAAATTGTCCCATCGTTAGTGTTAAGGACTGGAGTCGACCATTCTCCCTTTGGCATATATCCATTCTATGCCGATTGCCTCGACATTGGTTTTCTGTATAGTAACTTTTTACCTAACCCAGCCCGTTCAGTACAGAACACAAATATCGGCCTCTGTTGTATGAATCGTCTATTTCAGACACACGTGGTTTATATACAAGCAGACCAGACTGTATCACACAATAAAATGATAAATAGTAATTATACATGATCAAGCCGAAATTGGCTGGGAGTACGTGATATTGTAACTAATAAATTGGGAATAAGTTTAGAATGGTAAATCGTAAAACGGCAGCCAATAAACCAAATAAAAGCTTATGATAAAGAGAATACGAATATATATAGTTACTTAATAATTATTCAATGAGAATATATGTAATAATAGTTCATAAATAAACCCTAGCCGTTACTAATTATTTATTCTTCTGATATAAAAGTATTGATGTCGATAAATCATTCCTGACACAGAAGCACCTAGAAAGACATTCGTATAACATGTTTGAGTCAGTGCTTCACAATTGCATTGTGAGTTATATTATGATTAGTGACTGCGAATACATCTTGTCGAACCGCACTATTGCTTACACAGTGTTTCTATGGCATATGAACAGTTATTCAAACAGAACACTGATTGAACACAAGAATACTTGTACTAGCACTTTGTATATTCAACTTTTCCAAATGGGCCAACGTTAATATGTTACCAAAGACAATCCATATTAATACAGTTATTACAAACAGTTAATAACATATATGTTTTATTTAAGACTTTGATCCTTAATATACTGGTAAAGTCAACTAATACTAAGTGAATGTTCTCCTTACATTTTCCTGTAATTTTGTTGTCCGTATCCATGTTATGGTTTATGCTTTTTTATCATCCGCCTAATCAAATTGTTTTATCTGTTTGCGTCATAGGGTGATGTCCCAGCAGCTCGTTCTATTCTAGCTCGTGCATTTGAAGCTAATCCCAATTCAGAGGAGATATGGTTAGCTGCTGTAAAACTTGAGTCAGAAAATAAAGAATATGCACGTGCACGTCGTTTACTAGATAAAGCTTGTGCTTCTGCTTCTACAGCTCGTGTATGGATGAAAGCGGCTAGATTGGAATGGTGTTTAGGTGAATTAAATAAAGCTTTAGAAATGTTAGAAAAAGCTACATCAACATATAATCAGGCACCAAAGCTGTGGTTAATGCTTAGTCAAGTTTATGAACAGTTGTCAGAAGAAGGCTTAAAACCGAATGAGGTTGAATCATTAAAAGAACGTGCTAGAAACACCTATCGCGAAGGAGTAAGTACTGGTTTCGTTCAATGTTCGTGCTCCATTGTGTGCTTACTACTCTAAAAATAGTTTCGTGTAAAATTACGTTTTTGCTTTTCATCGAAAGCTCCTGTAAATGTTCCTTTTGCTAACCTATACTACAAACGTTGCTGGAATTCCATTCCATGTAGCTTCATCATGAATTTGTTATTTTTAAATCCTCTGTTCTAATTGAATTCATCGATAATCAAGATCTAGGACATTAAATAGGTAATCTGGTTCGTGTCGTATCGTGAATTCTATGTTAGAATAAGATTTTTCGAAATGCATATGAGCATCATCTACATATCTGTCATAGGATTTTGTTTCCTCGATTAAATGCTTCGCTTTGCATCCCTTCATAATGGATCATCTGTAAAATTGTCACTTAGGATCAGTTCCAAACATCTGTCCACGGCATGTCAATCAACTCGAGAATGTGAAGAATGTCGCACCGAAACTTTTATAGCTTCCGTAAAAGCACCAGTTTATTTTTAGGCAATCTTGCGACAGTTTCAATAATTTTTTTCAAATGGAGATTATGTATCAAGACGATACCGTAAACTGTTTCCTTTATCAATGAGGCAATTTGGGAATTGATAAATTGATCACAAATTATATTGGTCATTTCGAAACTATTCGTTAGGATATGGAAATAAAGTGAACACAATCCATTTGATTATAATTTTAACCCATATGCTAAATTTTATGTGAACAAATAACATGCTTCATTACTACTTCTGACAACATTCTAGTGCTTATTATCAATTCATAATTAGGTTTGCTAAATATTTGTTTGTTTCCTTTCCGTCAAGTGATACTTCATAATATTAAAAGATAGCATAACAAAAGTTCTCTTTGGTAACAGCTAAATTGTTGTTAAAATTTCATTGTATACTTCTATCTGTTATTGCGAACATGTTTCTTTCTATACGTTAAGAACTATTGTACTAAGTTATGGTAACTGCTATTTCTAACATTTATTTTCACGTCTTTTTCATAAAAAGCTGAATCATAACCCACATTATACTGCCCTGTGGTTGCAGTTGGCCAGATTTGAAGAACGACAAGGTAACTTAACTAAAGCACGTTCCATTTTGGAGAAGGCCCGTTCACAAAATCCTAAAACACCAGAACTGTGGTAAGTAATATTCATCCAACACAAATCTCAAATAATCCTCACAATAATTACATCATATTTAATTATTTTTACAAACGATATTTATCCGAAAATTCGGTTACATTTATGATTCAGTTAACTTAATAGACAATTTACGACCATTTGTTCTCAAATTCGAAGCCCAGTCAGATTTAAGTAATTCAGTATTACCTCTAACTGTTACATAACATGGAGTTGTGCCCTCTAAACATAGTACTCTATTATATATTTATTTTCAATGGTTAAGATCATGAGTCAGTCGAAGCTAGACCACCATGGGAAACCTGGAAGCACTGGACGGCCGTTTCGTCCTATCGTGGGACTCCTCAGCAGTGCGCATTCACGACCTCGCCCCCTGCGAGATGAGAACCCAGGACCTACTGGTTTCGCGCGCAAGCACTTAACCACTAGACCACTGAGCCGGATTAGTTGAAGTTAAACATTAAAACCGTCGGATGCCGGCTCAATGGTGCATTGCTGAGAAGTCCCACAATAGGACGAAACGGCCGTCCAGTGCTTCCAGGTTTTCCATGGTGGTCTAGCTTCAACTGACTCATGATGTTAACCATTGAAATTACTACAATATCCACAAAACCCATCTGATATATTTATTTGTTGACTTCAATTATAAAAATACCATTTACTTAACTTTTAAATGCTTCTAAGTCCAGAGTTTTATAGAACTGGCTTCATTTTCTAAAATCCGGTTGGATGATCATATATTTGTTTCTTTACTAGCGGCTAGTATTAATTTCTTCAAAAAGCTATCTAACTTACGATTCCTACCTTCATGCATCCGAAACAGGTAAATAAGAATTATCTTACGATTTGAAGGTACAAATTTGTAGATGAAAAACACAAATTAAACATAGAAAAGTTTTTTTTACCTGAACAACACTGAACAGATAAAATACATTTCATCATTCGTAAGGTGTTGTAGGTCAATAATGTAAATGATCTGTGTCGAATGATTAGCGGCCAGCTAACGTTGTGGTTAGTACTTAACGTGAATTACCTCTTTGTCGTATCCAGGTACTTTGTCTGCTTTGATGATTGTACAACAAAAACGACGTTATTACAGAGATATATTAGTAAGAGTAGGTGCGTGGAAGCAAGTGTGACCACCACCTCATGTACCAGTCCACGATGTGCGATTAGCTGATGCGTGTTGGTTGTTCCTGACCTTGACGAGGACCGGTGATCTGTTCGACATTCAGTGACCTAACTGCCGTAGCGATTTGGCTAGGACTCAGTGACATTTCACTAGTCCTAAAGTGTAAATAGTACACAATATTTTCATATACTGATAGACAGAAATGCCGTACAATGACAGTGTTTTGTTCCAAGGTACCATACATATACCACAAACAAAGAAGACCAAAAAGACAAATGGAAGGAACACGAAAACTACTATAATACCAAACTAGCAATCAATTTTTCGAAATGAACATCCGGATTTTAGGTGATAAACATCTTTATAAAGTGTACTAAATTAATTAAGTTTAAGTAAGTTAAGGATTAATCTACATATAGACTTTACGATCTAAGTCTTACAGTAGTATTTCATGTCAATAATTCTTAGTTTTTCCTGAATCTTCAATATGTACTTATTTCAGTTACATGAGTTTAGGAAGTGCTGATTAGTTAAATTCATACTTAGATACCCATTTGGTTATGAAAACCATCATTTCACTTCGGATTATGGGGATTCCTTGACAGGTTTTTGAGCTAGATGGTACTATAGCTTTTTTACGTTTTCGGTAATTTCTTAATGGAAATCACTCCTTCATAAAAACTTAAATCATGCTGCTCAGTTGAATTTATTGACATCTTTCTTGATACTGTATTAGACTGTTCACTAGTTATGTAATGCTCGAAATATTTTTGATTTTATTAGGTTGGAGGCTATCAGATTAGAAGTAAGAGCTAATTTGAAACCTGTAGCTGATTCACTTCTTTCAAAAGCACTTCAAGAATGCCCAACATCTGGTTGTTTATGGGCTGAGGCAATATTTATGACTCCTAGAGCTCAGCGTAAAAGCAAGTCAGTGGATGCTTTAAAGAAGTGTGAACATGATCCACTGGTACTTCTAGCTGTATCCAAGTTAGTTTCTGTACTAAATATTTTTCAGACTACTTGTAGCCCTAGGGTAGTTTAGTTTCTGTCATTTTATCAATGGTGTTGGTTTTTCTGATATCCTGATAATTATTGTCTTCGACTATTCTATGACGTTTTTTAGTGTCTGTGACACACTAACTATAAAAGAACTTGAATATTTTCATTAACAGTCCTTATATCAGTAGTGGCATAATGCGAAAACTTGTCTGGAATTTACCATTGTGTAAATACGGTATTCTATGTCGAAATCATACAGTTTGCTTGATGGGATGAATCAGAATTAAATTGGAAAATAAATTTCCTCTCGTTGCTGTGGCCTCATTATATCACACCTTTGATTTGAAATCGTAGTATTGCTACGGTACTCGTTGCATATCACGCATTTTAAATTATTTTCTCTATTAAACCACACAGTTTCAAGTCCAAATGTATTCTCACTTCCAGCCACTGTTTTAATTTCTGTCTAACATTGTTGTTCCTCTTAAAAGTAGTCTGTCTCTAAATCTACCACACTGAAATGCACATTAAAGAGTTACTATTTGTCTGTAGTTACTGTGTCTTCGTATACTAAAAGACTGAACCTCAGCGTATATACTCGTTTGAATAGGAAGAATTTTCAGTGTATTACTTTTTCTCTAACTGTACGGAACATGTTGGGGATAGATTGTATTCTCCATAACGTTTTACCTTTTTCGGGTTGTATGATTAAACTGTGTTGATCATTATCATAATGGCATTTTATCAGCTCTCTCCCATCATTGTTAAGTTTACAAAGTAGTCAGCATTTGAATTATTGAGATAGTGAAGGTTTGTTGCTTAGGCGAACAATTTTTGTAGTTTCTCTGAGCTGGATCCAACTGAGAAAATGAAACAATCAAAACTCGAATTACTAACTTTTACAGTACTCAAAGATTTCTCGTGCATATATAATTGTTACAAATAAAGTGTTAGTGCTTTTTAATAATCAGTAATGTAATCATAAAAAATACATTTTGAATTACATTTGACAATCCCATCTTATTTTTCATTACTTGTGTTAGGTACGAAAAACATTATCCTCAGTTCTGACTTCTTTTTGTCTCACTTGGATAACCTTAGGTGTTTTCAACTGTTTCAACTCGTCGTTAAGTACTAGAATATCACTTCTCCTGAAACCACTGACTTAAAGTTATATCTGATGATTAATTGAGATGTAACGGCATGTGTACGTATAACTTAAAAATGAAGGTAGATAACACTCTCGTTCATAGATCTATGGAGGCTGTCCACAATCCCCTATGGGTTTAAAGAACTGGTTGAAACCTAGAGTATGGTGATGTCGAGATTAACGTTCTCGTTGAACGTATCTCGGATGAAGTGAAATATATATATACTGATATTTTTCTGTTTAGTATAGAACCCGACCTAAAACCATCGTATAATCCACATAGTTTTTATTATTTTATTTGAACACATAGATATTGGTACAAGGAAGCACCAAATACATATGCGCCACACAAATCTCATTTGATATGTGTGAGGGCTGTGATACTGCCCGGGTGCCCAAACCGAAGCAGGTGGTTTCCTTAGGGAGCCACACCCGAAGCCTTCGACCTAAAGGTCTGATCCACAAGGCGGTGGAGCATCGTATGGCGATGCAGTCCCATGGTAGCCGGTGACCAACGACTGGTTTATACGCCATTTGTTCACTTAGGATACTGGAGCTCACGTGCACCGTTGGTTTGGAGTCAGGGTTTTCCGACTCCCCTAGGTGGACTCTCTGTGCCCACCAACCGGGTTAAAGCGCCGGACATTCGCTTTTCGTCCTGTCAATTTCGTAAACAACACACCTCCATGAGAAGGCAGTGAGTAGGACTTCCCTGCCAGAGGCTATATACGCGTAGCCATATGAGAGCATTTCGAGAGGGTGAGCGGACTCTCCCCACTCTCGGCCGTACCAGGGAATGTGGAGGCATAACAGGACGTTACTGCATTCCATAATTTATCAGTGAATTCAAGTTACTGAGTTATGTCCTTACTATAGAAACCGAAGGTATCATGGAATATTGAAAGCCTAGTGATCCCTAGCTATTTTAAACTGCTGTGAATCATAGAGCAGTCCAGAAACGTTTAGAAATCAAGCTTATTATTAGTTTAAAGTTAAACTGTTTATTCGTTTGACCTTGAGCAACACTTCAGTTGAATTTCAAATCCAGCAGTATATCAACATTTATGTACACAAATCTCTTGAAAAAAATATTAATTATTTCAATTGGTATTTGTCCCATTTTTATGGGACGAAACTATTTGTTGAACCTGTCATATTCACACTAATAGCGGTAGTTTCCAGTTTCATAACCATGTCGTAGTCAAAACTCAGAGGAAAACAATCACACTTAATGATTGTACAGAGAAAAACAATTGAAGAAGTGATGAGGACAAATTGTTGTAATCGGGTGGCTTGCTTCTCCATCAAAGTTATTTTCATATGAACAGGATGTCAATAATTCATAAACTTCGATCGATATTTGACCTCATTACAAACTGTTTTTTTTCTAAGGATTGTTATACTCTGCTATTTTAGAATGTTTTGGTGTGAACGACTGGTCATGAAAGCTCGTAATTGGTTTACAAGAACAGTGAAACTAGAACCAGATCTTGGCGACGCATGGGCTTACTTTTACAAATTTGAATTACAACATGGGACGGAAGTGAGTTTGAAAAGTATTTCTATATTTTATTAATACTGTCTTGTAATTACACTTACATAAACAATAAACTAGATTAAGTGCTTAGTAATTGAAATACTCAGCTTTAAGAATGAAGTTTTAGGTTAAAATCCTACATCGTCTTCCTCCTGATAGTATCGCCATACCTCACGCAAAAGGAATAACTAAAAGCTGAGTAGATAAATTTGGACTATGTTAGAGTTACACCACATTTAATTAGTTTGGATTTTGTGTTTACAAACAGATTAGCACTAATCATGTCAACTCGTGTATTTGTCGCAAAATATCAAAACGTCTGATAAGCTTAAAGGCTAATTATACACCGAGGCATTAATTTTTTCTGTTAATCAACACCATAAGTTCAGCCAGGACGCAAAGCACAGCTTATAGTATATGATATGATTATGTACATAATTAATGTTCTATAGTTGATAAAGTATCAATAACTTCGGGATTTTATCTTAATTTCATTTTGTTTAGGATCAACAGAAAGAAGTATACCGACGTTGTGTTACTGCAGAACCTCATCATGGTGAAGTATGGTGCCAAATCAGTAAAGATCCTAAGAACTGGCGATTAAAAACAAAAGATTTATTAAAAATTGCAGCAGAAACAATTGTTTTACCAAGTTGAATTTGTGTGCTTCGATTCTGTATTTGTATAATTCTTGCAAACGGACAAAATCTGCAGCGTATGTTGTGTATCGTAAAAGTCAGTAATTACTATCAGCCAACTTTCGGCATTCATTACACGTAAATGACAACTCATTTTTCGTTTTAGACATCATGTTTGGTTTAATAAAAAGCTAAAGATTTATTTAATTTCTTCTACTTAATCGAACATACACAGTTTTATATATGTTTTCAGCGATGTCGGTCAGAAATGCATTGGAGGCAGTTTCTTCACTCCACTTGTTTTACTTCCTAGACCATATTTAGAATTAAATGTTCGATTTCTGCGTAAAGAGAAATTAATTGTCAACGGTTAATTAGATGTGTTTTAAAACATTACAAAATCACATAATATATTATTAACTGTGTGCCGTGTGTTCTGTAAATATAGCAAAGTAACTTGTAATCATGCATATATATGTCTAGGTAGTTAAGATACTTGACTCCCACACACTGTTTTGCACATTCTAGTACTTTACATAGTCTTTGAATGAATGACTAAATGGCAGTATTATAATTGTAAGCACAGTTCCAGCTTTCCAATATATAATGTTTGCCTCTCAGATATAGTTCCATTTAACCGAACTGAGTTGTGTGACTGAAAGCTGGATATGATATACTGGTAAACGTAATTAAAGCAACTCCTGAATATATCCATAATAATTGGGACAACTTTGCTGTTTTTTTCCTTGGAAAATTCAGACTAAAAGTTGAGTAGTGTATAGTCTATTATACCGTTTCACTGTTTTGGCTGTGGTTGCTATTTTATTCTATATGGTAGTTAACAGCTACACATATACTCCTACCTAGTCGGTGAGAGTTGACCGCATCGTATACTTATTTAAAATTCTTAATGAGCATTCCAAATTATCTGGTGTCCACCAGCTCATCAGGTGTATCTCACTCGAACGATGCCATAAAAGTTACGGTTGTGTAATGAGAGCATATGTTATTGGTACTGCCATATCCGTTGGTTAATGCTGTTTTCATATATACTTTTGTAAATAAGTGTAACTGTAGAAGTTATTAGAGCTCTCAATACATACATTGGCTTCACTTTTTACTCTCGTGGGCATTCAAAGACTTCGATTATAAAGCGAAATCGTAGTATTTTTCCGTACTTATCGCAGGAATAAAGTAAGTGAAAATGCATTTTTTTATGTTTTTAGCATACACTTGTTACTTGCATAGACTGTTGACACAGCTAAGTATATCACCACTTAGCAGTCTTATTTTAATCGACACAGTATTTCATAATCTCCTTTATTAATGTCAATACTAGTCTTGCGTTTACTACGTTATGGTTTTAGACCTGGAACACCAAGTTTCGGTGAGCTATTTTCTCAGAAATAGACCGACTCTTCGGGTTGATACGTACAGCTACGCAACAGAAGATAAGTATAGGAAATCTCGTAAATCTTTGCACAATCGTTTATTGACTGAAATCATTGCACTTTCTAACAGTGTACAGATATTCAGCAAAATAAAAGAAATCAGTTGGCGAAAACGACACGAGTTAACGTAAGAAATCGGTTACTATGGGTTAAGCGCTTCACAATCTATGAGAAGTAAAGAAATGAGTAAGTCTGACTAATCCTAAGGAATTTTCAGTTATCTCTTTCAATGTCTCTAAGCACCGATCCCTAAATTTTTCACTATGGAGCTTGGGTCGAGTGTTTTACAGTCATTTATACTTGAGCTTTAAGATTTACCAAAAGTTAAAACACTCAACATGCGTTTCCTACCCACAAAATCTAAGTTAGTGTTGCTGAACTGATGATTTAATATGTTTGTTCAGCATTAGTAAACATAGACTTTGTATTAATCATCATGCGTGCTCTATGTGGACGTGAAATATCCGGTAGGATCAACATAACCTTATTACGCAACAATCTGAGGCTCTAGTTCAATCATGCCATGCTTTTGTGGGGTTTGTAATTTATTGATCTTCAATGATATAGTACAATTGAGTGTAGTTGTCACTGACAATAGCAACATTGGAAAGGTTAGTATAAAAATAGTCCTCTGCTGTCTTCATTGGTTCTGATGTATTTAAAAACCGAATTCACCAACTAATTCTATGTTATAGCTAAAGTTCCCCCGTACAACGTTTAAGCTTTGAATGACATTGTATGGAAAAAATGTTGACGCTTATTTGTCAGTGATGTTCCAAATTACGTTGCTAATATTTTGAGAAAACTAGGTTATTGGTTTTTTTTAAATTTTGGTTTCCGAATTCCATGAAACCTCGAATTTTCATTAAAAGTCAACATTTCAACACAAGCGTAATACTTTTTAGGAAAACGCACATATAATTTTCTCAAGTGATCTACTTATGTTAAAGCACATTCAGGTTATTGTTGACAAGAAATGTTTTATTCCAGATAAGCTTCTAGTAATATTTTATTCACAAGTATGAGTTCATTGAATAATAAATTCCAAGAATATCATATTTTTATAGAAACAGAAAAAATACCGTGAAATGTATATCACGTCACCTTAATCTTAGCAAAAACTAAACCTACTGTGTCTTCCTCACTAGTTTATCACTTTCATCTTCTTTCTTCTCCACAGGATGCTTACTTACTGGTGCTGGTATATATGTATAGTTTAATTCAATGAGTGCGCGTTTTCGAATTTCTGTAGCCCAGTAATAAGCCTAAAATACGTTAGCAAATCAAACTATTGTTGTTATTCATCCGTATTACGGAATTCGTAGTAGAAATTAAGTAAATTCAAGTTACCTTTGGAAATTATACCATCATAAGTTTCCTGGCTATGAATTTAAGCGGTTTGTCGAGTTAGAGGTTTCTTATTTGTTTTCATTGGCTCTAATACTTGAAAATTGGTATATTTTAATCCTATTTATTTTTATGACTACATATTTTCTACAGTCAAAAAATAGTAGTGTTCGTTTTCTCACAACAATATTGAGTTTGTTCTTCGCTGGTTAGTAGTACACCGTTGTTATTCAAAATATTTGTTAAATCTTGACCCTGTAGTTCACTATCACCAGTTTAATATTTGATAGGAAAATATTTGAAGTAATCGGTAGGTTTGTGAGTGTACTCATTTCATTCCTTGAGTGAGTAATGACGTGGTTATATTTTATCTGAGATTCGAAAAAATCGATAAAACTTTACATGGCCGTTTTTCGTTTCTTGACTCTAAAGAAGTATGTCAAGCACATAACAACAGCCAGTCACTGAGTTTTAGTACGATTCTGTGAAATCACATTGCCTTCTAGGTTATAGATTCTACCCCTCAATTATCTACCACTTCCTTTGTTGTCAATTTTACATCATTTCCTTATTGTGATAAAGGTGCTTACATATAAGTTGTGTATTGACTCTATTTTTTTAGTCATCCATACCATGTTAACATTGGCAGGATTGTTTCTGTGTAGAACATTTGGTGCACAATCAACAAACATGGTACCCTTTGGTCTTCGTTTTGCTATTATTTATCAAGAGTACATTACAACCTTCAGTCCAGTGACTCAGTATAAGTAAACTTCAGAAAACTAGACTCTAATTGGTCATTTCAGGGTCACTCAAATTACTCTCAAGTGGTAACAGAAGTTTGTAGCATTGCGGGTTGCTGTTATTCACTGATTAATATAAGTCGAACATAAATCACTCTATTTTATAAAATAAATAGAAGGTATATCATGGTGTTAATGGCTGTCTGTAATGAAACTCAGTAGGCGTCATCTAGTAGTTGTTTTACGGCGAGGATTCGTTTCTATACTTTCTCACTCGAAGGTGAAAAAATATGCAACGACACACATAACTTCTTAAAAATACAGCATCTGCTGATTTCAGAGTTCATGGACAGTAAACACATTTTTCCATATGTCTGTGGAATCTGCTATTCAACTTGATGTGGTTGAAACGTATACAAAAACCTTCGTTCAGCGATCTTATCTCACCTATGAAATATCTGAGACGTCCATCTCTCAATAAAATTTCTTTTACAAGAAATTTAAGTATGAGCAATAATCATCAGGTTACTTTTGGTTGCCTGCTTTCTTCTGTGACGGTTAAATTTCATACTTCCTGGATAAATTTGGGTGCATACAGCTAAAACAGTGTTGTTGGACAATTGTGCCAGTTAGAAATCACAGGACATTTATATGACAACCGCTAGAAAAAGATACCATATACGGCATACCGTATGGATGGAAGCCTTATGGTAGAGAAACGATAGTGTAGTTTGACAAAAATGATACACTACTTAAATTTCTTACCATGATTAAGTGCTGCTTTTCTTCTTAGTCAACAGATTCATGTTTCAGAACTATTTATTTATTAGGAACACGCTTCTGGTGATTAATACAGACATGTATGGTTCACATAACAGGATACTCAGATCAAGCAAGTGGAAGCTAAATCTATTGTATTGATTGCCTTGGGTGATTAATTCTGATAAATCTATGTTTGTTCATCTAGTTCCATTGTTCTGTTGATCTATTTATGTTTGAGATGCGTTGACTAATTGACTTTCTGAATAGTTTGAACTCATTTCAGTATAGTGCAGATTAAACCTGCCTAGTACAATCGTGAACTCATTTTATTATAATCCAACTGCTATGTATTTTATTACTAGGGTTATTTCCACGTTATTACAATTCCTAGTGATCCTAATCCCGAAACTGATATAAACCCAATACAATTATTGAGACTTCTTATTCTCAAATTAGTCCAGTACTATTTTTACTTCAGTCTGTTCTATTCTACCGTACTTTGTTTCTGTTTATTACCATTGTACATGTTAGTTGATTCAACCACTTAAATTTACATTTAGAAACATTGGTATTTAACCTATTTGTTACCGGCCATTGATTTAAAGACAACGAATGCGAAATCATTGCAGTGGTTATTAAATTTTGAGTTAAAGAAACTATTCAAGCTCTTGACAACCAAGTGAAATCATTATTTTCTAAACTGTTGGAAAAATTCG